ATTTCTGTAGAAATCTCCATATGCCTTCTTTCTTGGTTCAGACACAGCAAACTTAGAGAAAACTGCAACCCCGCAAGGATGCAATGACCTTCCAACAATATAAAATCGCGGACACCGGCCCAGATGGCCGCACATCTGAAGTTTCCACAAAACACTGAAAGTTGTGGTAAGGGAATACTTCCACCCACACCCTTCTGGTAGTCTTGCCATAGTCACATTTCAAGTTATTTTTTGTCTTTGCTTAAAAAAAAATCTACAATTTTTACTATCTACATTGGGGCATATACAGTGTATACTAAGAAGGTCTTCAAAAAATATATTTTATTATATCTATTACACCACCATTTCACTTGATGTTGATTATACTCAGCTAGATAAATCTTCTGTTCATTCTAAAGGATGCTCCTAAGATCTAAATTGCAAAAACTGGGCCTCCCCGGTGGTACAGAGAGTTGAGCACAGCACTGTGAAGCTGTCCGCAGCCTCTGCAGTGCAGTTTGATTCCTGGCCAGCCAGGGCGATTCCCACATGGCGGGGCAGACCTCTCCTGTCTTGCCTGCTGCTCCCCACAGCAGTGTCTTCAGTCCATCTGCCTGTTCTGCTCCCCGCTCTGTCTCTGGTGAATTCTCTCACCCTCCTGCACCTCTGACTGTACCCCATTTCTTGTATAAATAAATAAATCTTTAAAAAAATAAATTGCAAAAACTATGAATGAATTTTTAATACAATGCTTACTTTTTAAAACATTAAAAAGTTTATTTGCACAAGCTTAGTAGTATGAGATACAATTAACAGTCATGGAAATTCAACCGTAATGCTAATACTTTAATAAATGATTCCAAATATTAGACATTACAGTTTAAATCTCAACATTAGCTCTAATGTTGGAATAATATTTCAGTTAATAAATAATTGTGAATATAACCATATGTTCAACTTATTCCCACCAGTTCATGAAGAATTACAATTTTTTTTTGTGATTTGGGCATAAAAGTGATAAATAATTATTTATGTAGTTTCATAAATCCCCTGTTTATTAATTAATCCTGAAAAGAATCTAGAGATATACACCAATGAGAAATATAAATTAGGCATATTTTTTAGTTTTTGGATTTCAACATGCATTAGGTAACACCATAACTGCTCTTAAATTTAACATTCCTTCCACATGTTACATGACATTTATTTGATATCTATTTTCATAGGCAATTGTCATTTGCAAAAGTGAACAGCCATAGTTTTGAGTCCTGAATTAAATGTCTTTCATGTATTTCAGAGAATTGTGGGTTTCAAAAGTTTCTACTGGGAACTCCACTTACAACATGGCAGAAAAAGGAGGTTTTGATAAAACTCTCCATTAAGTAAAACTAGAAAAGTAAATATTCATCACAGGAAATTTTACCAGTTCATCCTCATTGCTGAAGAACTGACCTATGAATATTTACCTCGAGTTTTCCTTATTATTTTACCATGTCCAAATTCTTTCATCGCATTAATGTATAATAAAAAGGCCAATCATTTAAAAAAAATAATAGCTGTTCTTCAGTAAAGTTCTACAATACTAATAGAAACACAAAATTTGTGTTAAAGAAAGTGATTTTTGTTACATTATACTCTCCAGATAGTAATAACATCTTCCCACTAAATTTGATGCTATAAATGTATTAAGAAAGAATTACTTTCAGGTATAAAATATTTTTAATTTGCATATCCTATTGTGCTATGCTGAGAATTCACATTGATTTTCTGTTGTCTGATAAAGTTGTCTATTGAGCTCCCACTGTCACATTCAGTTGTCACAAAGGCAGTTTGTCATCATATAAATCACAACATACAGTCATGGCTCACAACACACAGTGATGGCGTCAACGTGCTACAGCAAAGGGCCCCACTGGATGAATTTCAGCTTTGATTTTGCTACTCTATTTTGGGATTTTTCTTGCTCATTATCAAGTTTCACTTGGTAAGTGAGTTGTCTGGTTTCAAAGTCTAAGAATATTCTTTCTTATTTGGAATCCGACCTCTAATAATTAATCAGATAATGCTATTCTGTCATATATGTTATTCAAACATTTCTAATCTCCTTGCAAAATCTTCAAGGCTGAACAGCAGCTCTATCTAGCACCAATCACCTGCATTAGGAAGAGTTGATAATAGAAGGTAGAAGAATTTATGAAAAATATCAAATGGCAGAAACAAAGTATAGGAATCTTAAATTTAGGCAACTGTAGGTAGCAGGAAAGACTTCCTTCTAACACAAAAGTTTTGGACTGAAGAAAATGTCATCTTCAACAATGAAAACATACATTCAAATTCTGGGCCCTAGCTTCTTAAGAGAGCCTTGAAAGATTTAAAAACGACCTCTTTATACTCTTTTGACAAACTATATACATTTTTGGTATAGGGACCACTGTATGATTTGGGGGCACTGGTGATACTTTTCCTTAGGGGAGAGATGGTTGGCATCATTTCCTGGCTGGGTATAATTCATTTATGTCCTTCTAGTTTTTCTCTCTCTGATCTCTTTTCTGTATATCTGTCAGCAGCTCTCTCCTGGGAGCAGCGAGATGCACTTCATTAATAAGAAGGGATTAAAGGAAAAAGCCCTAGTATCCTAATACACTTGGATAATTTGGTGCCATCCACAAGGCAATAGACCCCTGCTGCATAGATGTCATTAGAAAGGTACAATTTCATTACTTTTTACTGGCAGAGCCTTGAGTGAAATACAAAATATGTTGTCTCATATGCAGGGGAAAAAAGTGCTAAAGCTTTAATTCACTGCATGGCTCTAAAATATTAGAATGCAAAAATATATTTTATGGTTTTTACATTTATATTGCCTTCCCTTAGCAGTCCTTGAAATCATCTGTTATTGAATATTGAGCAAAGTAAAGATTAAAAGAAAATTATTTATATTCTTAAATCCCAAATGAAATTTGCATATTTTTATTAACTATTGCACTTGTTTTGAATCCCCACTATGTGCCAGGCATTCTGCTTGTTGCTGGAAGACAGATTATAAAAATATCATTCACTTTTCCTTAAGCACTAACTTACTGAATGCTATAACTGGTAGTTAAGAGTATAAAAGTGAGTATATGAGAATAAACCATATGGCTGAATCAAAACCATTATAAGTCAGTGGATTGTAAATGTAGTCAGAAGATCTGTTTAACTTTTCTTTGTTAACCTAACTTATTTTTGAGCTGATCTGTTGGTTAATGGTTAATGGCATTATCTTTTGAGCTGAACTACCCACAATATTAAGCCTGTAGAGGTCTATTGAGCAAACACTTGAAAAAATGAACATAAGCCATCCTTGGAATTATAAGCTAGTTTCTATAGGTATTGCCCCAAAGAGGAAGTAATATGCATCTTTAACAGTTGATCACGCCTCTGAGAAAGGGGCCTGGGAATTAGGCACCTACCAAAAAAACAAACAAACAAAAAAAAAAAAAAAAAAAAAAAAAAAAAAAACTAGTGGCTCTCCCAGACACAACACCAGAGTGAGTGATGTTTCTGGGAATCTCTTACCTCACTTTCTTAGCACCGAAGGGGATCGGGTTTAATAGTGGTCCATTATCTCACTGCCACAGACACACAACTGCCATTAACACTAAAAAGTGGCACACAGTTGGAACTGTGCTTGGGAGAAGAAAGCCCTTGATTATCAGCTATTTACAAGCCACTCTGCAGTAATAGGTTTTTGCTTTACTACTCGCTTTTGTTCGGTGAAATTGACATTTGCAGTTCTTTGTCTAAAAGACTAAATGGTAAAGATGCTAAAAACTGGGGTTTCTAGAGAACATCTACTGATGTAAGGCAAAGCAATACAGGAAAACAAACTATTTGACAAATAAATGAGTCAGTAACAAAAGTACTGTAAAAATGGGTTATGTATACTATCCCTACAAATGAAAGATTGGTCATTTGTTTTGAACACAGTGTTCTGACGTCCTCACCCTGCTATTCTGCAACCAAGCTGTTTCTTGTCTCTGAAGCATTTAAATTCATTAAACTATTCTTACAAGCACAGGAAAGATGATCAACAAATATCATGAGAAGGGAGAGAGCCGTAGAGAACAGGACTGAATGACATTTTCTAGAGTGAGCAGAGTTTAATAATCAACAGAAAGTTATGACTCAACTAGTTATGGTCTTGTTATCAAAAATATGTCTCAGCTAATGTTCACATATAATTAACCAAAATTACAAACAAATAAAAACCCCAGTTCTGCCAATAAATTATAAAAATTAAGCAAAGTGTTAAGTAGTTAAATGCTTTGATTTTTAACCTCCTGTGGTATAATTGAGAATGTGCACTGAAAACAGATCGTTATTTGATACAAGAATACAGATTTCCTTTTTCTTATGATATTTATATGATGATAACTTTTTCTACTTCCATAAGATCTTACACCTCTGTCATGAATTTCAATAGGTGTCCTTTATGACTCAGATATTTTATAAGTGGAACTAATAAATATACTGGGCTTCTGAACATTCTCCAAATTTCTGGGCTTTAGTTCCACATTACCTTGACCATTGCGGAAGAGGAAGGAAAATCATGACTTGGAATTTGATTTGAAAGTTGGGTATTATAAATGGAAGCAATTTATTAGCAATGACCTTTGCTAATCTTACTTTGCCGAGGTAGTTTATAAATAGGGATTGCCCACAAAAGTATTTGCTCTGTCTCCTCTCTTAGATGTACACGACTCTGTGACAGACCATGCTTTGTTTTTTGATAAACTTGATTGACAGAATCCATACTCAAACGAGGATTGACAATATCAGTTTCATGGTAGTGAAGGAAAAAGCTGAAAGGTCTGTTTACTAGTTCTGTCAGGCAAGACTTAACCAAATCTTACAACACATTTAAATTGATTATTGATGAATGGCAGCCAGATAAACTAGATACATATTTGCTTTGGGGGATATTTTACAAACCGTTCTCTTTTAGGTTTAGCTTTCACTATAGGTTTCTTCCATTTCTCCTTGGTAAATAATGAAATATTTGTTGCTTAGATGGAGTAACATGATAAGCAGCAGCAATCTGTACCTACCTAACTTACAACAAATCTGTTTCCTTAATGGGTGGAAGGAAATCTGAAGACACTGCTAGGGGTTCTTGTCTGCTTTCAGTGCTGTCTTCTAGTCATACCGAAGACAACACCTCTCCTGATGGGTCCTTCCCCTTCTTCTCTTCGCCCCGGTCGATGTCAATCACATGCATGACACCAGCTTTTAGAATTAAGTCATCAGTCTCTACCTGACTTCTGTTGTCCTCCACCTCCATGTAGCTCCCTTTCGTTTGCTGGGCAGCTTTGCTGAAGGCTTCTTTAAAACGACGCTTGAGTTCAACGTCTGGACAGAAGACATACTCATAAAGGCCACCAGCGAGGACTGCTCCTATGATTGGTCCAACCCAATATATCTGGGAGAAGGATAGAAGAGTGTAGAGGGTAAGGAGAGAAAAACTATTTCTTTAGCCAACGCATGAATATAGACTTCAGCTAGGTTAAAGTATAATAAGCGCAAATATATCAGGCAAAAAAGAGAATTGGAAACAAATATAGTCCATCAAATCCATATCAGAAATTCATTCATGTGTTGCTATGTAAGCCTTTAACAGAAAATAAGAAAAGACTGTTCTCTCTTTTGTGCTTTTATTAATTACATTCTTTCTATTTTCTGATAACCCTTAAAGATAGTTCCTCTCTGGTGATATTGAGAATTAAGCAAACACTAAGAATTCTTCAACTAAAATAGGAAAAACAATGTTCTGTTTGGTACATGTTTTCTTATAGTTGCCATCTTACATTAGTTTTCTGACTAAAATCACTAAGTAGTGGAATTCCATTTTTCACCACGTACTAAAGAGCTAAAGCTTCAAATAACAGCAATAGTATGACCGTGATTAGTCAGAAAACTAATGTAAGATGGCAACTATAAGAAAATATGTACCGAACAGGACATTTTTTCCTATTTCAGTTGAAGAATTCTTAGTGTTTGCTTAATTCTCAATATCACCAGAGAGGAACTATCTTTAAGGGTTATCAGAAAATAGAAAGAATGTAATTAAAGAATGTAATTAATTTAGTGGTTTTGGTGAATGCTTGTGTCCACTTCCTAATTCTTAATTTATTCATCTATAAAGTGGGTTTATAATAAAATATATGATAGTTTATAATAATATATGTCATAGTAATCAGGGTTAAGTTGAAATAATACTTGTAAAGTACTTTATAGTTTCAAAGTAACCTGCCCTACTCCTCTATCCTAGACAATTTAAAGATGAACATGGTGAGGTTAGGGAGAAGTCCTTTTCCTTATGTTACAGGTTTTCTCTCTCTAAAACTTGATTTGATTTAATTGGAAATCTCATGGTTTGATTAAAACTTTTCTTGCAGAGTGCTTTCATCTGCCTGATTTATAGGATGGTGTCTTGGTGAAAAGACCTATATGGAGCTTATGATTAGGATAATTGAATTATTGAGAATTAGAGACTTGAAGATTATTACCTCTATAAGATTACCATTCAATATATGGAAGCTTTTATCATATCACTTATGTATCTAGAATAAACTAAGTTTTGAGTTTGAATAAACTTCAGCACCTACTTTAGAGCACATGTAGGCCATAGAATATCAGGCATTCATTCAACTGATTCATTTGGACAACAGAAACCAGCTTATTGAACACTCCCTCTAAGTTGATGGTACATAGCACTTTTCTTACATTGATTCATTTAATTCTAACAATAAACTTTAAAACAGATATTATTATTATTATCACTCCATGTTTTGGGCAGGAAATTGACACTCTGAAAGGGTGTGAAGCTTGTTTGAGATTTTATGTTTGGCCAGTGGTTCAGCTGGGATTTCAGGTCTGTCTGACTTCAAGTCTCTTTTGAAACATTACAGGACACTTTTCTCATTTGAAAAAATTTATGCATGTTTCTGACTTAAAACACTCTCTAGAAATTAATCTCACTTGGCATCCTCATTGCAAAATCTAAAGCAAATTCAAACTTTAAACTAAAGTTAAGCATCTGTACTTAACAGGGAACACACTTGTAAAGTGTCTGCAAGAACCACGCTCCTTATCTTGTATGAAAGAAACCACGTGAGCATGTACAGTCTCCCCGCTGCTCTTTCCAAACAAGAGTCCTCCTCTAAATGTCTTTGCTTTTATTCCTTTAGTAAGATCTCCTTAGACATATTTTACTACACAGAGGCAAAGAAAGATTGCTAAATAATTACATTTTCCCAAAATGCCTATGAAAAAGATATTCAGCTCTTAAATGAAAACAAATCTTAAAAATAAACAAATGTGAATTTCAATTCCAAAACATAATAATGTGCTTTCAGGTAACTTCTAAAACATAAAAAGGTAAGGAATTTTTATTGTTAAGAAGAATGAAAATACAGAAGAGTATAACAAAGAAAATTAAAATGTCATTACACTAGACAACAAATTCATTAATATTTGGATGTTCAATCTATATATATTATATTTTCAATTAGTTCTAAATTTCACATGCCACATCTACAATGTGGGCATTCATTTTCAGTAAATTAAGTTTGTTAAAAAATAGTCACAGGGGAACATCCGATTTAATCAGTAAGCCAAGAATGTACTGTTTGAATTTTAACTACTTTATTTGCTACAACAAACAAGAAATCAATGAAAACATTTCATTCACATTTTAAAGTCTCATAAATTATATAAAAAGTTGTCCTTTTTCTAAATTTAATTATGAAAATAGATTGAGTTAAATAAGTCATATTAAAATTTGTACTTTTATCAGAAGCTTTAGATATTGCCCATTCAAAATTTCTATCCCTGTTAATGTGGCAAAAGTTTTGAAATATAAATGAAAATATCAGTGGCAAAAATAACCACTCTGATGGGTAGTGTTGCTGACTAAGTTTTTGTAGGGGGCAGGAGACTAAATCTTGCTTTTGAACTATGATTTTCATGCTACTGTTAAATGGTGTAGATTACTTTTAAAGGCTGGGCACATTTTTCCTAGAAGTGAATGCACATTGTAGTCATGCAATTTCTTCTCATTTACTGTGTTCCCCATGGTTGAGTGGGTATGACTGGGTCAATAACCACTGTAGCATGAGGTTAAAACACAAGTGACATATTCTGTCATATTCTTAAATTAAAAATAAAAGTCGTTAAATAGCATTCACAACACAAATAATAAGTTAGCCCCATGGAAACTGGCTTACCTATATCTCATATTTTTATTAGTTATTATAAGTTAGCATGTGAATGGCTTTTAAAACTGCCACTTTATTCATTTAAGGGATTTAAATTTCTTTGTTCTAAGAAACAATTGAAATAAAATTGATTGTGATATTTAAAAATGGATACCACTACTCTCTGGAAGCATTGCCACCACATTAATAAGTAGGTTAGGCATGAGATTGAAAAATGTGCCTTTTCTGAAAGTCATTTATTTTCCTGGCTATGGTTAGGGTGATAATAGCATAAGCATTTGCACCATTTATTCCTCACCATCTGCAGTTCAAATGCTTCCAACTCACATACTATTAATTGGGTTCATGCTTTTGTAAACAAAAAAGATAAATATTTTTGCTATGGACAGTGCTTTTAAGCTGTTCTTTCTTTTTTTGAAATATAAATATATTTTCAAATATTTAAACACCATATTCACTGCACCATCCTGATTTTCACTTGTTCTACATAGGCAACCTCCGTGTACCATATATTCTGCATCAGTCTGTCAGATACAGTGCCCAGGGCAACGCTTTAACAAAGAAAAGGACCATCGCTGAAGGCCCAGAGAATATATAAGATGAGATGTTTTTCAGCAGATCTGTGTAGTGGCTCCCTGGCTTTATGAAGGATATAACAAAGTGGGAAGAGGTCAAGTTTGGGAGGAATACAGAGAAACTAGTGAGCAAGATAATGAGAAAGAAAAGAGCTCCCCGGATAATTGTCCTCAACTGTAGGAAAACAGGAAATATGAGCGTGAAGGTTACCCAGTGGTTTTCCCAGTTTCCCATGATAACTGCAGGTCCAAAGGATCGGGCGGGGTTCATGCTGGCACCAGTGTAGTTGATCTGTAGGGAAAAAGAAAGCAACATTTTCAGGCATTGCTGATACTGGGCTACTAACTAGTATCAATTTGCTACCATTTGCAATGATAACTAACCAAGGAACTGTTAAGTTGCTAGTAGCCATATCAACATTCTTATCACCTAGTTAGCAAATAAATCATTTAAAATGGACAGTCAGGGGCCTCCCCAGTGGCACAGCGGTTGAGCGCTGGGTTGCGAAGCTGTCCGCAGCCTCTGCAGCGCCAGTTCGATCCCCGGCTGCTCCCCGGCCACGGGAGGAGGGTCCCACATGGTGCGCAGACCTCTCCTGCCGCCCGCTGCTCCCCTCAGCAGTGTGCTTCGGTCCTTCTGCCTGCTCTGCTCCCCGCTCTGGCTCTGGTGAATTCTCTCACCCTCCCGCGCTTCTGACTGTACCCAGTGCTTGTAAATAAATAAATAAATAAATCTTAAAAAAAAAAAGGACAGTCATGCATATGAAAGAACTACAGTTATAAAACTGTAACTTCAGACCAGCTGTAGGGAGAGAAGAGATGAAATTGATCAATTATTTAAATGAACTTGGAGACTTACTGCAAATAAATGTCCAATTGCTACAGAAAATCCAATTGCTAAAGCTATTGAGCCAGTGACATCAGTCCGTTTGGAATCACAGCTGGCAAATATAGTAAACACCAACTGAAATGTGATTATCAACTCCACTAGGAGACCATGACCAGCGGTAAGATTTCCATGAACCTAGAAAAAAAGAAATACTCTATCTGAATTGAAACAAGGGTGTATTTTCTAGATTAACATGTCAATGTGAAAGGCATATTTCATCTCTGTAAAAACTGATAGTTAATTCTATTTCACCCCCAATTGAGACACCACCTCCCTCCCCCAAAAATGGGAATACATTTCCATTCATTTGGATTATCACTGATAATGAACTGCTCTAATAATGGCAAAGCAGGAGTTTATGCCGAATGTCCTTTTTTACAAACGAAGCAAATGTGCCACATTGCACTTAACTTATGAAAGAGTTTGAGAGTCTTGTAATTTTATAAGGCAATGATTAAATCCATTAATTAGGTTTATATTAATTAATATACATTTCAATTAATATTTAAACCATGTGTGTTTTTTTAATCAACTTTGGTGCTGAGCTAACAAATGATATTCCTAATCAGCTAAGAACAAAACTAGCATTGAATGCCAATTCATTGTTTAAAGTGTAACCCTTGATATAGATCATTTTAAATCCCATGAACATGATAAGAGACAAAATTATTGCTTCTGCTAGTGACCCAACAAACTAAATATACAGTCAGTATGGTCACTGACATGAGGTGGAAAAAACCCACACAATTTTTGTGTTGCCCTATTTAATAATATTCAAGTCACTCAACAGTGATCAGAGGGATGCATTCACTGTGTCTGGAATTAGTTTCCACCCCTGTAAAAGAGCCATCAGAAATATCCTGTGAATAAATTAGTAATTTCAGGAAGATCTCTCAGGCCCCCAGAGTGTCCTATAGTAGAGCCAGCAAGAAGCCTAGAATCCTTGTTTGAAATTAAGAGTTGACCATGTTACCGTGGTGACGCCCAAGCCCCCCACCACGCCGGGAGGGGTGACGAGATAGAGAATCCCAGCTCCGATGATGGCGCCCAGGCACTGGGCAGCGATGTAAAAGACAGACTTGGCGATGCTGATCTTCCTGGTGCACACCATGGCCACGGTCACGGCGGGGTTGATGTGGCCACCGCTGATGTGGCCGAAGCACTGCACCATAGTCGCAATGCTGAGTCCAAAGCAAAGGGAGATGAGAACCATGTCCACAGGTAAGGGGTTTTCCACTCCACCCCAGTTGATGGTGGAGCCCAGGCTGAGGAGAACAAAGATGAGCATAGCCAGGAATTCCGCAGTGACTGCTTTCCAGAAAGCTTGAGTCCAGACCCCTTTGAAGGCTACCATGATGCTCTCTCTTCTACACAATGGCCCACACTTACTGAAAAGGAAAACAAACTGGTGTCAGGAGCAACCACACAGGGTTTATGACCGTCAATGAGAATGGCCAGGCCTGTAGTCTTCCCCTTCAGTGGGGAGAACTTCTCAAAATTATCTGCATGCCAAAAAAGAACGCTTCTGGAAAAATCTCCTTAATTAATTAATTGTCTCCTTAATTGTCAGGCCATTTTATTTTTATTGATTTAATATAAATTTAAAACACAAATATATTCACATTTATATAAATATTTAATGTTCTAGTCCTTTGATTTACCATTCAAAGATCAACCGGTTTCAATGGAAAACCATCTGCATCCTCTCTAGAAAGCAAAAATGTCTTAATTTCCTTAAAGCATTAAGAATAAAATATATTTCTCTTGCAGTTAATTTCCTCAGAGCAACTTTTAAAGTTTCAGTGTACTTTTTATATGACATTTGAACTTAAAACAATAAAAAAGGGAAGTCTTTTTCAGTTGTGTAGTTTATTGCTCAAAATGGATTGAAAATGGATTTGCTGAGTGGGACTTCCCCACTCCTTGCTCCCAGTGGAGACACTGGATTAAGGGGAAGCCTGCCTAGAAGTGAGGAATGTGGAAGTCTATCTTTGGAGAGAGTAAATTTCTTGGGCTGGGGGGCTCATGCAGTGGAAACAAGCAGGGCCTGAGTTGGGTCAGGGACATCGCTTCCCTCTCCCCTGCCAGCAGGGGGAGTCCTGGAACCAGCCAGTTAAGGGACACTGCAGTTGCCCAGGACCAGCCATGTGGTGCTGGTACATGTCAACCTCAGGCCCCAGGGGAGCATCGAGCATCTTTGGGGGCCCAGGAGAAGTGTGGGTGGGTCAGTCCTAGGCCTGTGCCAGGCTCCAGGGCAACAGCCAGGGAGACAAACAGAAGCAGCCCATCAATCTGGGATCCCCACCCCCTCCACCCCCTCCCTGTACCCCCAGCCCACCTTATAATTTCTGTCCTCTCCACCTGGGAAAGTTACATCCTGGCCTCTGTGGTGCTTTTGCTGTGTTAGGGGACAGCCCCACCTTGTGCCTGTCCCTCAATCAACTCTGACTTTACCCCTCAAACTTCTCTAGAGAAGTCCTGGAGACTGATGCAAGATAGCAGCATCTGGTGCACCCTGCCCAAAGCACCGTGGGTAGGGTTAGGGCAGTTAGAAAGGGGTGTGGTCAGGGAGGCTGTGGTCCTTAAAACAGAAGGCTGCGTGGAAAGTGGTTTTCTCTAGTGGCTTCTTGATGTCCTGCTCTCCTGCCTTTCCTTAAAAGTCAGAGTGCCTCTTCTTGTGAGAATGTGTGCGTGTGTGTGTGTGCATGTACGTGTGCCTGTGTGTGTGTGTGTGTGTGTGTGTGTAGTGAGCAGTAATGCAGGAGTCACTAAGATGAATGTCACCTTTTTCCTCTGTCCTGTTTTCTTAGCATTGCCTTTGGATCTCTGGGCCTGAGTTGGGATGGGAATTGAGGATATTGTTGTCTACTGCTCAACTGGCAAGAAATGGCTAGGATTCCCTTGGGGGTGCAGTTACCTCAGTTATTTCATTTTTCCAGCCATTCTTTCTTATCCTTTGTGGGGATAGCCACCAGAGTGAAGGTGTAAAGGCAGCTGGCAGAGACTCTAAGCACAGAGGGCTATGAAAAGGGTTATGCAAAAAAGCCAAGCACTTCAAGAGATTAGTGCTATTGCAGCTTTTCCTGGACATACTGCTGAAAGTGGGGGCCTTCCCGTGCCCCCCTCTACAACCCAGGTCACATCACTTACTGCTCTAGGAGCCTGGATTCTGAATGGGTAGTAGGGGAATGCTGAATGGGTAGTAGGAGGACTCTGGCTTGACCTTTAAGATTTCAACTCAACCTCTGGCTTGACATGAGCTTTGCTTCAGAGTTGGAAAGAGAAACCCATTTTCTGCCCAAGCCCATGTGGGGAACAGCCAGCTCCAGTGCCTGCTGGCCAAGCAGACTCCTCTATGCAAATCATACAATTATGAAAAAAAGAAAACAAACCCAAAAAAACAGCTGGGAGGATAATGACATCACCCTCCCTTAGGATCAGAAAATAAAAAGACAAAAACTGTACTTGGAAGGAGGCAAGGCAGGCCCTGGGAGAGACATTAGAAATATCCCAAAGGGGGAGAAACTCAAAGAACACAAATTGAAAAGGAAGTTCTGAGGGGGCCTCTGTGCTCAGCAGCAGCCTTTGGCTGTAGCCAGGAAGCAAAGGGTCAAGGTGCTAGCAGAGAGCAGTCTTCTGTGGCAAGATTTATGGGAAAAAGGAAGAGGACAAAGCCAGAAGCTAAGGACACCAGGTGGACACGAAGAGTCAGGCTCCTCTTCAGCAGCATGGGGAAGGAGAGCCGGGCCCAGAGAAAAGGCCCCTGCCTGGCTGCACCCCCTCTTCCCTTTTTGCAGTCTCCCTAGTTTCTTCCTTGCCCATTCTCTCATGCATCTGTCTGCCTCTCCAGAGACTTAATTTAAGGAACTCAGTTGCTCTTTCAATTTCAAATTTTCATCAGCCAAAGAAATTAAAACAACAACCCTCCCCAACAGATAAACACACTCCCTAAGCTTTCTGGGAAGCCTACAATATCTGATCTCCTTCCCGAGCAGAGTGCCAGCCTCAGCTGTGAACCCCAAGTTTCCTGGCAACCTAGACATACCTCTGTCCTTACAAGAGCTCGCCCCTGTGTCTCCACAGCCCCCTGTCACTATCAGCAGTGCCTTTCTGTGTCCATACTTCCTGGAAATGTAGAAACACTATTTGTTTTGCTTCTCTTGCCGTAGCACAAAGGGGGTTTGTTGATGTGACAGGGTTGCACTGAACCGGACACGTTACTTTCTAGCTGAACACCCAGCCTGATCCACTTCTGGACAGTTGAGCCTCTGGGTGAGTAATTTTTCTGATGAAAAAATCCTACAGATAGATTGACCTCCATAGCTTCACTTTCCTAAAAACAGGGCATGCATAACCAAAGGATTTAGCTACAAAGCATCCCTTTCCTTCTACCTTCTCTGGCCGCTCTTCTGATCAAAAAGAACCACCCACCTGCCTTACAATTTCCTTCCAAGAAGATTCTCCGTGAGAAGGCACAAATATCTGCAATAAAAGAAGCAGAGTTTCATCTTTTGGCCCTGAGCTTGTTCCTTAAGGCAAAGAAGGACTTACCCCCACCTCCTTGCTGCGGGTCTGTCACTCATGCCTTCCCTGGCCAGAGTGCAGCTGCATAGCTGGCCCTGCGGCTCCCAATGCTCGGGGAGTCAAATTACGGCCACTTGTCTGATTGGGTTTTTGGAGTCTAGGGGTGGAAAGATTTTGCACCATGTGGCAATCGCTAAGTTATATTTGAACTTGAAATAACTTTCCTCTACCTGATCACTATAGACACAGGGCATTTCAGGAACGCAGATTGTTTGCTTACATTATGTTTCATTAACTAGTAATCTTTGCAAATGAGGACTTTCCAAATCTTTGCCTTTTTCCTACCAAAAAATTGTTGGGTATATATCTTGTTTGGTTTTGTGTTGTGATTGCAATTGGGCAATGATCAGATCACAGATTTGCCTTATCCAGCCGTTGAAGGGAATTGGGATCTAGGCTGCAGGGCATTTGTTTTTGGGTGGTGAAGTATTCAGTGAGTCCTTCTTGATGTTTTTGATCTAAGATGCAGCATTTCAAGCACCGGAGATAAGAGCAGGTCCATCTGTAGTACAGACAGCACTGATTTGAATATAAGGAAATAAGGAAAAATAGAAAATATAGAAATATATAAAAAAGGGTGCTCACCTGTTACATTAATAATAATTATTGAGTAAGAAGCAACAAACTTAAAAAAAATGTAGTGGTTTTATGTGAATAAAATTATTGGTAACTGTAGGTAAGTTTAATATCCAGAAACCTAGGGGCAGGAATTACCACATCATTTGTGGGATCTAGTGCAAAGAAAGGCAGGATTCCTTTTTCAAAAATTACTAAGAATTTCAAGATTGGGACAGCAGGACAATAAATAAATGTGGGGCTTCATGCAAGTGCATATGCTGGGTGCCCACAAAGGCACCCCTACCTAAATATTTGGTGAACTCCAGAAAGTCTGAGAATTATCTGCTTTTATCACAATTTCAACAATTTATTTTTCTTTAACTGGATCTCAGGCACATAGAATTGATATAAGCATAATCCTTAGTTTATGTCACCCCTGGTACATATTTATGGTTCCTTATAAGTTAATTATTAACTTTTTAATAATACAATGAGTGTCTTTGAAGAAAACACCCAGTACTGTGATAGTAACTGACATCTACTTAAGGCTCCTTCCCATCCCTGCGTTGCCTCTTCACCTAAATTCATTTTCAGAATGAAGTGTGGCAAGAAAGAAATAGAGAAGCAAGAAGAAAAACTGTTACACTTTCTCATCTTAGTTGCAATTTTGTGTTTTCTTATCTTGTTTGGTTATTTGAGACTAGGGAATGGATGAAAATCTCATTAGAAAAAGGAATTAATATGTTGAATATGAATCTCAGAGCACTTGATTACTGTTTCAAGCATTCTCAGATAGCAAAGATTATATTTACATCCTTAAGAATGTGTTTGTACATTGATGTTTGTCTATCAGTGGTTTCAAGTCTTTTAGAAATATGCTCTCTGAAAGAGTAAATTCTGGTGAGAGAGAAAGAGGTAATTAATGAGAAAAAAAAAAGAACACTTAAAACATTTCATGTTGATTTTTAAAGTTGTTTTACCATTCAGATTTTAGAATGAGCTCAAAAAAGGTGCAAAATTTCTTTAGAAAACTTTGACTTTATAGGTACATGCGCTAAATATAATTCGTCTGGCCCAAAGAACATGGAGTTAAAAGTGCTTGCGAGATCTATAAAACCAAGGAAGGAAGCTACAGTGTTTAGGGTCTTTTTTTGTGAATGAATTCTGGAAACTACAGAGTGGCATTCCCTAATACTACTGGTCATTGCTGGGGACATTTTTCAGGTCCAATTTTTGCAAGTTGTCT